CATTGGAAAAGGCAGAAAGACCCTGAAAGCAAAGAAGTCCCATGAAGCTTGCTGAGGCAATCCAGGTTAACTGGATATCCTGAACTCTGGAGAGAAACTGGAGATGCTGTGTTACAGAACTATTACAAATTTTCGTATGCTTGGATTACCTCAAGACCATTGTCAGTGGAGCTCCACTTTGTTCTCTGTGTAATCTATTTAGGTCTTCTTCATTATCCAAAAAAAGTTGTTGCTTAGGCTTAGTTTGGTGTCAGAACGAAGAGCTCAAAGTGCCTTAAAGCAGTAAGGGCTGTTGGGAGCAGCTCACGTCTTTTCTCAGTTGTTTCTTAGCAGGTGGTAACATCAGTGCTGAGTCAAATCCAGGCAGTGGAACTGAGCATCCTCCTGCCCAGCAAAGCCACTGACTCTGAGCTGCCGGTCAGCTGCATGGGGAGCATGAAATGAATGATGCTCAGGGCCAAAGGATCTCTATTTGAAAAATCAGTATTTAGAAGAATTTGGATAATACTCTGTAAAATGTTACTATCAGCATTAGGTACAGTTACCCATTGTGCTTAAACATGCAATGGAATTATCATGTTCATTCTGAATTAAATATATTTCTACTCATCTAGTCTTGGGAGCTCAGAATTTCAGAGTGACTAGGATTTGGAGATTGCCCTTCCTGGGCTAAATTTCCACCCACTGAGAAACCAAAGTCAAATACTCAAAGAATATCAGATTGTAGAAGCAGAAGGAAACACAGCTTTCAAACACACTAATATAGTAGAACCAAGTATGAATAAAACATTTTATCAAAGCTAGAAAGCAGGATTGTGATTAACTGGCCTTAGGCCAATCCTTTAATTTTAGTGAGAGTTTTGGTTTTTGCTTCCCAGTTTTATTGCATTTGATTTTGTCTGTTTGCAATCTAATAATTACTGGCAATGGGAACATCAGCAGCTAACATACCTCACTGAGCTGAGAAGATTCTGAAATGCTGAAACAGAAAAATATCAAAAGACAGCATGCTGCAATTACAAGCAACTGTAAGAGGAGTCAGATATAATGACTTCTGTTCCCCTTTAAGTTCAGAATTGGCAGGTATATAATTTTGTCTTTAACACTGGTAAAAGTGGCTTATGGAAGGCTATTTTAGCAATCTGGTATAAGTATTATCTTTTTAAGTGTTCTTGTTTTTTCACGCGATTAAAAGCTGCTTTTCTCACCACCCTGGATGAATGGGCACATGCTATTTTACACATCCAGTATCAAGAATTCTATATTAGGGCTAGTACTTCAGAAAGATAAGTTCTAGAAAGAGCAACAGCAATGTTCATATTCTACAGTGTTACGTGGAAGATGTAAAGAGAAGCCTGGCAAAGGAAAATGAGGCCAGCTGTGTTTTGACTGCTCATGTTTCCTGTTGGGAATAAACATCCACCTCGAGGGTCAGTGGTTGATGGAGGGGATTACTTGGGGAGCCTCTGTCTTCAGAAGAGTTTAGAAGGCTCAGGCAATATTCTCAAGAATAGATTAGGTACAGGTGTATTTGTCTTGGGGCTGGGGACAGAGTGCCTCATGGCTCCGTGCCCCTGCAGACTGTGCTCGCAGTTGTTCACATGCATTGTCCCAGCCAGGATCACCCTGTCATCGCCATTGCCGTGGTTCTGCAGATTTTCTCTACCCACACAGTATGACACTGGCTACTCCCAGCTATTTTTTGCTCACATTTTCTTGAAATACTTAGGGATTTTTATGTAAATAACAGTTGATAGCCTCTCCCAAGCAGATATTACATCACCTCCTTTACAGTCCAGTCTTGACCTCTGCACCTACACAGACACCATCCTTATTCCTGTGAAGAGGGTGTGTAAGCCTTGTTCTTTACATGATCGATAGTTTTGTAGTGCTGTATTTTCCGAGTATTTTAAAAGCCTGCTCCTGGCAACACTCATATTCCCTTCCTTACTTTTATGTTGGTGGCTGGACAGATGTCTTTAAACAAGAATTATACATCTCCTAGATGGTAATACCTCCTTGTTCACCATTTCATTTTTTAAAACTGTGGCTTGGGCACGGTGAATACCCTGCATATTTAATGATTTATGGGCAAATGCTGTATCACTTCTAATGAGCTAGCAATGTAATTTTAAGTGCTCTGTCAAGAATACCAGAGAAGAACTAGTCCAAAGTGGAAGAACAACAAGTTCTTTTTATGGATGCTTTGGTTCATTCTGCTTGTTTCTGTCAGGCAAAACCACAGCACTGAATTCTTTGTTCTGGCTTGTCTGGTCTTTTATATAGATTTTAATGAGTGCATTTCACATTTAAATACATTCACTGATCTGAACTTGCTTCTTATTTTGCATCTCCTCAGAATTGTTAAGACCTAATGGCAGACAGTATAGTAGGTTTCTAAATTTCAAAGCTCCAGAATTAGTATTGGTATTTTAGCCTTGAAACGTGCTGTCTTCACAATTCTGTAGTGATATCAGAATGTGAAGCTTCAAACAAAAGCCAATGTCCTTATAATGCACTATTGATTTACAAAATAATTACCAAATAATTGTCTTGGTAAGTATCAGAAAGACTGAACTTTAGCTGTTTCTAGGAAATCTCAACAAAATTCTGCCCAGAGGAAATTTCCTGTGTAATGGAAAAATGAATGAGAGTGGACAAGAATAATCTCCCTTTGGGAACCTTCCTCTGGGGTAAGAAAAAGAGAGGCAGTTTCTGCTGTAATACTACAAAAAAACACCCCAAAAAACAAACAAAAATACCAACAAAAAAACCAAACCAAACCAACAAAAAACCCCCAAACTAAAAAAAACTAAACAAACAAAAACAACCAAAAAACCAACACTAAAAACAAAACAAACAAAAACATACACAAAAATTAACTAACAAACAAACGAACAAACCAAAACCAAAACCAAAAAAACCAACCCCCCCCACAAAAAAAAAAACACAAAAAAACAAAACCAAAAATACATTGCCAGCTTCTCTGAAGAAACAGCCTGCTTGGACACCTCTTTTCTGCCAGTACACCAGTGTGTATTTTCTTCACTATATAAAATAGCTCAAGCCTTCTTCATAATGCTCATCCTGCAGAGACTGGAAGTGAGGGTTTTTAGGCTTTTAGGTAACAACAGCAGGCCTAAAGAAAATCTGGCACTTCATCCCTATCCAGCTCCAATCCACACACAAGTTAAAAGTTCAAGCTTGAGCTATCTTGCCTAGCAAAAACAAGTTGTTTGACACTAAAGCTACAAACACTGTAGACATGAGTTATCTACCAATTACAACACCTTATCAAGAGGTTATCAACTGCTAATCCAATTAGTGTGCTCTGCTGGCTGCTGTGAGACTCCCTTGGTCCTTCCAGGCTCCAGGTAGGCAGTAATTCACACGCACCGTGAGAGATAACACTGCAGGAAAGACAAGCTCTAAAAACTCTCCTAAAGGAGGACGAGTAAATCACTAACTGTCCCAAGAGTAATTGAGATGCCATGATCACTGGAGCAGGCAGTCTGTAATCACGTTTTATTGACAGCTCCTAAAGATCAGTCTTCCTTGGGAGCTGCCGGCAAGCGAGCGTGTGTGCAGGGCCTGGCACAGCATGGTGACCAGGCCGTGGCACCCAGTGATGCACCTTGGCTCGGGACAGCCCTCCCACCCCTCAGAGAAGGCTGTGCACGGCTCCCTGCTCACTGCTGAATCCCCAGCACGTCCCCAGACACAGCCCAGGTGTGGAAACACACATTTAGAGAGCTAGGGAATTCCAGCTTGGAAATCCTTTTCAGGCCTGGATTTCTCCTGACTCTCAGCTCCATTCCCAGGCTGACAAGCTGACTGCAGCTTCAGTTAGGGAGGAGTCTCCCAGGGTGATAATATAGCGAAAAACAGAGTGGAATTCATAATAAAGATTAACACCTGGTGTCTTTCCAGTGGGATACATCCTGAGGTGCTGTCCCAAGGATGTTTTTCCCAATTGTCCAGTGAACTACTGTCCTGTCCTAGCTACACATAACACACTTTAAATATGGGCTGTCTGTACAATAAATTGGCCTTTTTTCCCTAAACAGGTCCGTGTGTGTTGCTGTCCTTTCTCTCTCTTTGCAGGGCAGTAACCACACCCAGGGAGTGTGGCAGCTTGTGTTCCCAGAGCCACCACTCTCTGCTCATCTGTACTGTGCCCTTGGCAGGACAAAGGCAAACGTAGCTGATCTTGTCACGAAACACTTGCAAATGCTCTTTCTCTATAAATAAATATTGGACTTTAAAATTTATTAAATTGGTGTGTGAATTCTTGAAAAACTTCATTTTTAAAAATCACTTGCTTTCTTGTACACGTTTGGGAAGCCATGTTTCATCTCTGGGTTTGCTGTCTCAGCTTTATAAACACCTGAATTCAGTCCTGGGAAAACAAGAATGTTAAAGACAGCCTGGTACCAGGTACCACCTGTCGCCCTGGAAAGGGGTTTTAACCCTTTAAGTGCAGCAGAAATAAGATGCACAGCTACATGGTCGTCCTTCATGACAGGAAGAAAGAGACAAGTTTATTCAGAAACACACTTGGTTTTATAGCATGACTGCAACTCCAAGAGTAGAGAAAAGGTGATTGGTTCAGAGGAAAGACACCCCATTGCCAGGGCCTGGGCACACACCACAACAGGTGTTCTATCTTGTTATTAATTCCTTTTTATTGTGACCAAATTATCACCCTGGGAGAAATTCTCCCTAGCCTTGAGCTGGACCAGCTCATCAGCTGGGAACAGAGCTGAGAAGCTCCAGCCTGGAATATTTTTCAGGCTGTAACTTTCTTACTTTCTCAATATATGTCCCACACCACCCAACCACCCACGAAACATTCCACTGTACCACAATAAATGGGACCTCAAATACACTTGGCTAAGATGAATAGAGATTCTTTAAATGTGTTAAAACATAAAGTGATTTATTACATGTGCAGTTTGTGTGTTGGTACCAATAACCATTTTGCATCCCCTTTTTTGCAGGAGGTGAAGTCACCAAGCCCAGGTTTGCTCAGTATTTCCATGGCAGCCTGGCCAGTCTGACAATCCGGCCAGGGAAAATTGAAAGTCAGAAAGTGATTTCCTGTTTGCAGGCCTGCAAGGAAGGTCTCGATATTAATTCTCTTGAGAGTCTTGGCCAAGGAATAAAGGTGAGGGATGAACTGACTTCATTTTTGATAAAAATTTAGATCTGATTTATGAAGTGGAGAGCCTAAGGTAGAGTACACACGGTACAAATGTACTCCCAGAAGCAATGTAATTTCCCATAAAATCATGCAAAGAAAAAAGAGAACAGTAGAAAAGCTGTGGCACTGCAAAGAAAAATGTTTCCATTATTGTAGAGCTAAATGATCAGAAAGTAAGGTACTACTGATATTTCAGAGTCTGTATGAATTGCCAGGTTGTGTTTTCATGCTTATTTTGTTACTTCTACAGAAATAGACGCAATTCCAAAGATTTACTGAATTTTGATCTCAAGTAGTTTTAAAGCAGTGGAATACATAAGTTTCAATGCAATAGCATTCTAAAATTCAGTGTGTTCAAAGAGGAAAACTTTATGGTACATGAAAATTGAACAATAAAAACCCCTAAAGTCAAGGAATGAAATTTTTAGATTTGCATATAAGTAATTTTCTATGTTCATTATGCATATGACTACTCGTAATGTAGAGCTTTTTCTAAGATTGGAGAACAACAGACAGGGAAATCATGTTTCAGTTGACCTAGTGGCCAGATGGCTTTGCATTCATTCAGATAATTCTGGAATTCTGTTCTTTGGATATACATATAGGATCTTGGCTATTCCAATGCTCACATGAGCTGCATTGTCAGTTTTCTTTTACTGACAGAAACCACTGTTTGGTGACAGTGTTCCTGTGTTCAGTGTAAATGCGCTTGTGAAGCTGTTTCCTAGCACACAAATACCTCTTCCAAAGGAGCTGAGCTTCAGTTCCAGCCCAGGAAGTCCCTTTGGATGCAGACAATCCATCCTGAGAAACTGAACAGAGGTGTTTTGGTGTGGGGTTTTCAGAGGGGAGGAGGATGGTGCTATAAATCTTCATCTGGAACATGCAGTGCAATGCCACGGACTGCATTTTATTAGCCAATCCCTTCCATTGTACAAACTGACCTGAAATGTGCTCAGATGTCTGTCCAGGTGATGAGAGTTTGCACTGGTGTAGTAAAACTGACACATTGTGTGAAAACAAGGGTAAAAATGAAAATTGAAAGTGCAACGGTAAGGAGGAATTTTGCTAACTCTAACGTTTACATATGAGGAAAGACCCCAAAGAATTATTTTATCATCCTACCAACAACATCATTAAGAATTTCACATTGCTGCTTCTCACAGCAACAGGACACAGGGGTTGGTTAAAGCTGTTTTTAAAAGGCAGCAGGTAGGGATTTCTGGAACCCACATGTGTATGCCTAATAATTAGCTATTTGCTGCGATTTTCCATGAATTAAAGCACTGTACACTTCATCCATGGTGCTTAAAAGCATAGTAATTCCTCCCCTATTGTTGCCCTCTGAAACCTGACAGTATTTGAGTCACCCCAGTTTCATGGGCTTGGGAAAATCCTTCTACCACCCACTGCTGCTCCAGGATTTGTGACTGGCTTTCTTACTGTACTGGCAGTGCAGAGGGAAAAAGGAAGACAAGGGATTGTTTTCTGCCTTTTCATGGTTTTGCAAACCTTCAAAACATCTTCATTTTCTGAAGTACAGATGAGGCGTAGTGGAATTTTTAAAGTTACCGATGTTGCTTTTACTGCCTCGGCAGGCCAACAGTGAGAGCAACAGCAGGAGGCAAAAATGAAAGGAGCAGCCAGAGAGAGATTGTGGAAGGGTTTCTTTCGGGGGCTGACAGAAGGAAGCTCAGCTGAAAGCAGAACAGTTGCCTGACCTTGAAGAGAAAATGAGAGAGGAAAGTGCTATGGTGTCAAAACCAAACACACCTGATCCCAGACAGGCAGGTGTGACAGCTGCACAGACCATGGGTTCTGTGGGGCTGTCTATGTGGTGCTTTGCAGATTCAGTGTTGGCAGACTGATGCTGGAAGGTGTTTTTGGGCACTTTGGACCATGGAGAATCACCCCTTAAACCACCTAAGAAAGAGCAGTGCAGCTGCAGTTTCTGACACCATAGTGTTGGACGTTTTTGGGCTGCAGCCTAATTTTCAGATATCTGTAACAGCTCTCTGAGACACTGTCTAAAATGTTGCTATTTTTAGCTTTTTTTTTAATGAGAAAGACAAAAATGGCTCAGACTGGGGCTTTCTCATCCCTTTGGCAGTGTTCCAGCTGTTTTGGCAGCTGAGCTATTAACTGGCTAGCTAGAGTCTCCTTTTGCTAATTTTATTCTCTACTGCTGTTAGCTTAAAGAGAGGAAAAAGAACTGTATGCAGGCTGGGATTCATGTTAGTCCTCCTCTTTGTTAAAAAATACCCTTCAGTGTGTTGTGACCTTCCTGCACAAGCTTTAAACCCAGTCCTCCGTGTTCTGTCTGACAGAGGACCCAGAGCTTCCTCCTGTTCTTCAGTCTGTTTGATGTGTGTTGCTTTATAACCTTTCTGGCTGTAAGGAAGTGTGGGCAGCCACTGTCTGTATTTAACAGAACGTCTTCACATAATCAATGCCCAGCTTTGGGGGGGTCTACCCAAGAGAGAAAGGTGCATTTGTGTTCTGTGCTGACAATGGTGGGGTACAGCGTCAAGGGGGTTAGGCTGGTTTCCTCTGCAATGCAGATGGTTTACTGGACTAATTAACAGACAAAACAAGGAATTAGGATTAATTACGATGAAGGTAAAAATCAGTCATTGGTTATGTCACAACAGTGATGAAGTTTCTTGGTCAGCAAGACTGATCTGTGTTCAGTGCAGTGGAGCAGAGAAGGCTCGGGGCTACAAGAGCAGGCAGTGACTGCAGGGTTTGCTGGCCCAAGTGAGCAGCTCCTTCTTAAATCATGACACCCTTATTGATCATCAGACAGGATGGAGAGTCCCCTTTACTGTGTCTGATGTTAATGAAGATGTAGGAGGCAAATGTTGTAATTGTTTTGTTCGTTCACATTGAATAGATCTCAGAAAGGTAGTCCAGAATAAAACCACACAGAAAGCAGCCAAAATATGCTTCTGCATGCTAGACTGGCTCAAAAGACAATGCTTATATATGAGCAATGTGTTTAACCTAAAAAGATTACATAGGAATAATAATCATGGTGGTAAGGTCTTGAACTTCTACAGAGTTCAAAAATAAATAGCATTGGAAATTGCTGCAGAAATTGTATCAGCAAGGTTAATAAGGCTGGACAAAGAACAGAAAATCTGGATTAATTTATTACAAAATTAATTATAACAGTAGTTTTTTAGGTGACTGATACAAGCACATGTTTTAGAGAACAGCATGTGGATTCAGCCAATGGTAGCTACTAAGATTTTTTTTCTTAAATCATTACATTTTTAACTTATGTCTGTGCAACATTCCTTAAAAATTATATTATTTTGTACTCTGTACCTTGTCCCTTAAATACTAATTACTTGCATTTCTCCTAGTATCACTTCAACCCTTCCCAGTCAGTCCTTGTCATGGAAGGAGATGACATTAAGAATATAAATCAAGCCCTCCGAAAAGTCTCATACATCAACTCCAGACAGTTTCCTACTGCAGGCGTACGACGTCTCAAAGTGTCATCTAAAGTCCAGTAAGTTATACTTCACCTGAATTGAACAGATTAGGAACATTTTTAATGAATTACTTTTTTCTTTGGCCACGTAAAAATAATAATTTTGGCTAAATTAAATTGGTAAATCATACTGCTTTGTTATTGAACCTAAAGGATTAATTTAATTTACTTTTATTACAATTTACATGGCAGTTTTCTCTTGATATTATCTTCTTAAGAAACCTTTCTTGTTAATGTAATGCATTCTCTTTATAGTTTGGGGCATACAGTCTGGACCCAACAGCGCATTTATTGCAATCTTATTTACTTTTCATTTTAAACATTTATAGTTCCTTCTGGGATAGCCAGAACGGCGACCTTTTAAAGCAGGCCCGTTCCATCTAACAGAGGAGATGTCTGCAAGGGCATTGCTTGAAGCAGCATGTGTGTGTCTGTCCCTGATGTGGCCGTGCTGTCCCTGCAGCACTGCTGGAGGCTCTGGGGCAGGGTCCGTGTCCGTCCCTGTCTCTCTGTGCAGCACCTGCTCAGTGATGTTCGGAGCTGCCCACGGCCTCTGCTGGGCTCCCCTGGGCTCATCTCTGTCCAGAGCAGGCAAAGCAGGGCTTTGGAGGGCAAACAAGCCCAGTTCTGCCAGCTTTCCCAGCTGTAGGCACAGCTGTTCCCAAGTGCCAGGGCCGGGCTGTGGGCTGAGCTCCCGGCTGGGAGAGCAGCTGCCGAGGCTGTGCCACTGGAACCAGCCCAGCCTGCACATCCCAGGGCTGGCCCAGCTCCTCTGCCAGCATGAAATGAGTCAAAGCTTGTCAGGAGATTTGCTTCCAAAGCACACTGCTGATTCAGATGAAAATGGAAGTGCAGGCACCTTTTGTCCCCTGCAGATATTGGAGGGTCCCAAAAAGAGTTCATGGTGGGACCAATTTAAATGGAGAATTAGGCCCTTTTATTCACACATGACAAGATAACCATGTTGTATTAATTAGCTAGCACTTTCTGACTTTAATGTTAGGTTTACAGAAGTTAGTTGCTATCTAGTTAACTTTATTAGCCATTTACTGCTCTCTTGAATGTCAGTTAAAGATTAAAGTATTATTCTGATAGTGACCTTAGGAAAGACTGAGCTTGCCCCTCAGAGTGGGTATCTGTGAAGGTGGGAAGGGAGGAGAGGGCCAGAGCTGGCCTGTGTGCACAGTAGTACAGAAGCATGTCCTCATGTGTGGCAGTGCCCGAGGATGGATTGGGCTGATCTCAGAGCCTTTAGCTGGGTTTGGGGCAGTGCCAGTACCACACTCCTCTTATGTCCGACGTGTCACGTGCACTTAACAACTAATGTATTTTTTCAGATGTTTTGGTGAAGATGTCTGCATTAGTATCCCAGATATAGATGCGTATATAATGGTGTTTCAGGCCAATGAGCCCAAGATTACCATAACTGGGATGGACCACTTTGCTAGACCAGCTGCACAGTTTGAAAGTGAAAGAGGTGTTATTTTGTTACCTGACATCAGGATTGTCAGCACAGTCACTAAAATGGAGCATTCAGTGGACTTCAAAGAACATGACAGAGGTTTGTGTCTTTCTTTTCAATATTATTACTCATTTCATAACATCTCCTCATATTTTTTAAAGGATGGTGCAAACAAGTAATGCAAAGGAAGTCACTTCACCCAGATTAATTAGGCCACAGTAATACTGTACTGAAGAAATTCAGTTCCACACATTGAAAAGTGTGGTAAATGGTAACAGATCAGAAGGTGCTTCAAAAAAAGCAGATTTTCCATGTAGTATCCATTTAGTATACTTCAGAATAATTCCTTTCTACTCTTCCTTTCATATTCTGTTACATAGGGTATTTTCATTAGAATGTCTCTGCTTATAACAGAATTTTTAAAATTGTGCCAATAAAGTGAAAAGCAGTAATTGTACAGAAGTTGAAGTTCTGGTCTGCTTTTATGTTTCCAGCTCTGATACCAGCTTGTGAATGATACTTGAGAAAGTAATCTCGTGCCTCAGTTTCCCACCTATAAAATGTATATATAATCCTTTTAAAATATTAATTTTCAATGATGACAGTTTATTCCAATGATAAGCAATGTGGGAATTATTATTCAACACTGTGTGAATGTTCAAAAGCATAAATCAGGTTTAAAATCACTGTCTATAAAGGAATCTTCATTTTGGATGTTTGTGTGCAAGGAAGATGAAATCTTTGGTAATTTGAGGAAACATTCTAAACATTGTTGGACTAGAATAAGCAGCAACTAGATGTACATCTCTGGAGAAGAGAAAATGGATAATGATATGCAAGTTTAGGGGCGTGGATTACCTGAAGCCTACAAATTTGACTAGGGCTGCATTTTTGGATATGTTACAGCTGTACCTAGAGCTTAGGTACCCAAAGAGCTCCTGCATTAGGAGCTGGCAATCTAGGGCATAAGGCTTTCCTGGCTGTGCCCTCCTTCCCAATATACCCTCTCACATCAAATTTGCAAAATGGGAAGGAAGTTCCAGGCTTACAGTGTCTGTGCCCTCAGGGAGCTGCTTAAACAGTTTTGCCACACACTCTGTGCTAAGTTGATCAGAGAATTTAAATATTAATTTGATATGCTACTCTTTTTTCCAGTGACAGAATTATTTTTTTACTTGTACATGTTGAAGAATAGTCAGTATATAACTTAATTTCTTTAAGTCACACAGCACAAGATCTTGCTATTAATGATAATATCCTGCTCTTGGATAGATGGCCAGGTCTTCATAATGCAAATTGTTTATGGGGCATAGAGTAACTGAGAGAATCATCCAAGCATAGACATGCTGAATGTGCATTTCTCCAATTTGGTTTTCCTTGAGAAAGCTGGAATCAGTACAGCATTGAAACCCAAAATTTTTTACATTAATTTATTTCCAAGATCAAATTTCAGTTTTCTACTTCCAGTAATGTTCTCAGGTGCATTGTATTATAGAGCAAGATATTTTCTATTTTTCTCACTGAGTGTTTGTAGGCCTTCATCATCATGGCACCTGTACAAATGGGACGCTTCTCTTGATCTGCTTCGAGTGTGCTGGATTTAATATCAGTAAAAACAGTTCAGCCATCTTGGCAAAAATTGAAAGCCCTGATGCAAAGCACATAAAATGACTGAGCTTTTCTCTGGTCATTTATCTTTATTTCCTCCCTTTTTTTTCATGCTCTATGCAATGGAATCACAGTCAATAAGCAACTGGTAGTAGAGGAAATGCTCCACAACTTGGATTTCTGTGATGTTTTGGTCATTGGTGCAGAACTAGACCCTGAACAAGAGTGTTTAGAACTAGATAATGAGGAGCTTCAAGGAAAACATCTAGATGCCACAAATTCCACTGCAGGATATTCAATCTATGGTAAGTTAATGAAATTTGCTTTCCCTTATTTTGTCACATCAATTATATATTGGAAAGAAAGCTCAAATATGTAAGAAATTGGACAGAAATCTATGATTTTCTAGCCATGAAAATATCCCAAAAGTTACTGTATCGTAAAAAACCACAGTTGCTTCTTGATCTATGGATGTGCTGTGTTTGCCCTTTGGATTCTCAGCATCCCTCTTGCTACTCCTCAAGTAAGGAAAATGGCATCCCTGCTTTCTCTAAATGTGAGGTTCTTGTGGACCATCACAACAGAACATGGGAGTGAGGGGGTTCCTCAGTGTTCTTGTACAATGCTGGAAAATTTTCCATCTTTTTCTGATCACTAATTTATTCTGTACCATTGTTGTTGTATTTATCCATCTGCATTTGATTCTGAAAGCTATCCATATAATCAAGTCTCAGAGAACATTTGATGCCCTGTCATTTCCAGACCATTCTGCTGAGTTATGTGTGTTCTGTGAGCAGTTGATTTGTTGTGCATTGCCAGAGCAGTTTTCCCTTGCCTGTCCCTGAGCTGTCCCTGCCCTCCCATCCTGCAGGTGTGGACAGCACGTTCAGCTATGAGCAGGTGCTGCGGCAGCTCCGCTACCGCAACTGGGGCACCTCGGCCACCTCGGACAGGAAGTTCAGGGTCAAGTGCTCCGAGCTCAATGGGCGTTACACCAGCAACGAGTTCAACCTGGAGGTGAGCAGGGAGTTCAGCCTGGAGGTGAGCAGGGAGTTCA